GACAAGTTTCTGCAATTTTTAGATTGACCCCAATTTGAAACACTCTCCAATTCGTGCTCTACAATGAAATTTTTAACAATTCAACACTTCACACACATGAAAAGTGACTTAAACATGAATCTCAACACCTCAAAACAAATCAAAAACATGTAGAATGGAAATTGAGGGTTGAGGTTCTTGGATCAAATAGTCCCCTCGACACTTCCAATGCATATGATGGTGCTCAAATGGTTCAAAAAAGTGCAAATAGGTCATGAACACAATTAAACACTTGGATGCACTTCAACTTTATGCAAATAATTAACTTAATCTCATAACAAGAAATTAAGCATTGTAAACTCAAAAATGAAGGTTAAGTTTCCTTTTTTCACATCGGTCTCCACTCCTTATAAACTCTTTTGCACTTGAAATAATTTGCATGAACCCTTGCCATTGCCACCTATAAAACACACAAAAACACTAGTTTAAACAACTTAAAAGCTACTAAAAACAAGAAATCATTGGGTTGCCTTCCAACAAGCGCTTCTTTATAGTTGTTAGATTGACTATATCACCTCATTTTTTAAGGAGGTTTAGTTAACGAATAATCCACCATTTTAGGCCATGGTGGATCATTGTAAGGTGACTTAATAGAAAAAGCCACATGATCTAATGATGTGAGAGATGGAAGTGACTTACATATTCCAAGTGTTTCATAGATATTACCTTGAATATGCACCACTTGAGAACTTACCAAAAGAAATGCCATGAAAGTATCTTGGGTAGGAATACCTTTAAAACCTGTACTTTTTATACACTCCTCAAGAGGGGTGAAAAATGAATCATTAAAGCTCACCTCTTGAGATTCAAAGTTAGCTCCAAAGATATTATTATGTGAAATGGACATTTCCTCATTGAAACACAAGTTAGAATCATCATTTTGATCAAAATGCAACACATTTTCACATACAACATTTCCACCGTTCATGCTAGGATCTTTTTGCAAATTATTAGAGGAAATAACTTCACACAATGCATTCAATTGCTCATGTATTCTACCAAAGTGAGAAGCTAATTCATCTATTCTTTCCTCAATCCTATCAAAACAGTCAGAAGTTGCATTTGCTAGCTTTTCTATTGCTGAATCAAATTGATTAGAAAAATTTTCTACAGCTAGCTCCCAAGATGCATTAGAATCATTAGCTAATGGTTCACTTTCTAACTCTCCAGGTAGAAGTGCATTAGCTAACTTCTCCATTGCCAACTCCCAAGATGGTTTTGATTCATATTGGACACTTTCAGTTTGGTAATCATAAAAATATGAATAATCACTATAAGTACATTGATTATCCCAACCATAAGCAGGAGAATTGCTCCAATTAGCAATATATCGATCAAAACAGGGATTGTAATGCTCTAATTCATCATAATAATCCACATTTTGTACTTGCATACATGTATTAGTAGCATGATAACCTCCACACAAGTCACAAATCACATGATAAGAATTAAAAGCATTGACATTCCTCCCTTGCTCAATTTCGTGCATAATTATGTCCATTTGAACTTGTAACATCATAACATCAAATTTAGTCTTTAAGCACCTTAAACCATCTTCAAAAGACATACATTCAGTAAATTCATGGTTACCTCTGTTGAAGGAGCTTTGCACTTGGTAACCATCCATTGCCAATCTTCCACTTCTCAAGCATTGTCCTCCAAATTGACCTATCTTTCTCATCATCTAAAATTGCTTTTAAACAACTTAAGAGCAAGATTAGTAAGAAGAATAGGTGATAAAACACATACACACACAAAACACTAAAATAATAGAAAATAACATTCACACTATAATTAATGAAATGTCTAAACTAATAAAGTTGCTCTTCACACCAATATTGCCAAATCTTCCCCGGAAACGGTGCCAAAAACTTGACGGGTATTTTACATATACATACAAGTTAAAAAAAAATCGAATTACACTCGTTCCCTGCAAGTATACAGGTCAACTAGTAGTTTAGGGTATATATCGGGTCGATCCCACAGGGAAGAGTGAACAATTATCGGTATTACTAAAGCTTCTCTATTATTTAGACTATCAATGAATTATAACAAATTTAACCTACTGAAATTATACAAAATAACAAATAAAAGCTCCTTAAGTTGTGGTATCCCTAACTATTCATGCAATTCCTATATTTGGATCGTTGAGTACTACATTTAGGCTAGTTATGGTGTAATTTCCTTATGCATTTGAATCCTACTTTCGTAGTGAATCAATTATACTTATAACTAATCCATACCTATTCTCATGGTTATGAAATTAGTTACAAGTTCATTTCTTCAGTGAAATTACATGAAATGGATCACTAAAAATCATATAGGTGCACCTCTACTTTCGTGAGTCCACTCCCTATGTTTAGCACTTCTTGAACTAATGTTAAATCTCAATTTTCATTGCAGAAACAACACCTTAGATAATCACAATCAATAGTACCGGATTAATCATGATTTAAAGAATCGAAGTGCTAAATAACTTGCTCAAATCATAGCAATCAAATAACCAAATAATACTAACAATTATAGAAAGTTCAACCAAACTCAAGGCATAAACTTTAGAGACACATATTGAACACAAAATTCAGAACTTGCATATCAACTAAACTTAGAATCCAATACAAAAGATAAAGAGTTGGAAAAGAGATAACCCTTGTCACATGAGTTTCAACTCTTTCTTCTTCATCTCCATTTTCATCCTAATCTAGCTAATATTCAAGAATGGATGAACTACTAGCTAAACTATCCTACACTAAGAAGAATGGCAGAGCTACATTTTTGCAGTCCAAGCTTTCTCCCGTATCTCTCTCTATTCTCCCTTCATTCTTGCAAGTTTTGGCTATATAAAGGTGAAAGTTGGTCAAGAAGTGAGGTTTACACCTCCTTTTTACAGTTAGGAATGTTTCTCACATGTCTAGCATCACATGTGATTTAGTGGAGGTGAAATTGAGTTTTCTGCGTAAAGAGCAGACTTCTCTAACTGCAATCCGGCCAAAAATATGGCCAAAAATCCGGCCAAGTTCCGGCCAGATTGCTACAGCGACATTTTGGTGCACTTTTGTTCAATTTCCTGCTCCGCCCCGATTTTGTGTCAAATTCAACTGAACTTTTCTTGATGATAAAAGATTATTTAGCTCTTGACCAAAACATAAAATTTGTAGCCCTTTGAGTTAGCTTTCCAATGCATCAGGAATCACCTGATTTGGATCTGTTTAGGCTGAGAAATAACCAAAATACTCTTGACTGCTCACTGCCCTGTTTCTGCTTCGACCAATAGAAATTAGCTACTGTAATTCGGCTTTTTGACCTAGAAAACCTTCAAACTGGATTCAGATGTCTTCATCAAAGTTGTAGATCTATCTCTTATCTTCAAATTTGTTTAAGAATCATCTCAATCTGATCATTGTAGCTCAAGTTATAGCCAAAATGCGAAAATATGTCAAAACTGTCAAAATGTACAAAATCCAAGTAAAAAGTGATAAAAACCTCATTTAATTACTTAAAGCATTTTTCACCAATTATAGCCAAAATGATTCATTTTCTTCCAATAATATAACCAAAGTGACTAAAAATAATATAAAACATCATTCAATTATTACGTAAATTAGTCACTTATCAGAATCAATAGATTCTTGGTTGTGCTAATAGTTTTCCATAATTGATAACTATTGATTATAGCTTTGATTCTAGTAGGTAGTTTTAGAGTTTACCATTTGATGTAGTGGAATAAACATCCAAACGATAATCTTCCATATTTAGACACAACATGTACAGTTGATTATCTAGAAACTGTAGGAATGTTGCCAAAAAATTGATGGTTACGATAAATGTTAAACCTGAAGCATAATTATCATAACAAATGGAAGCATACAGAAAAGTTGGCGAGAAAAAGATTAATTGTTGTCTTTGCAAACTATTTTGTATCATGTGTCTGGAACTTGGATGCACCCTACTTTCATCCACCATATATCTTTATTTTGATCTTACAAAAAAAAACAGACTATGAGTTTGGGTTCGTTTCATTCAATTTTCTGGTTACAAGTTTGTAATTTTTTTACAGGATTCTATTATGGTCTTAGCAGTGATGAAGAACGCTAACAAAAAGTATACTACAAAATCTCAAAATTGCAGTAGAGGAAGTCACATAATTTTACAACTATGATTTTAGCTAAATTCTGACCTTTAAGAATGAGGTGAGAGACAGTCTAGAATTCAAAACTGGCAAATCATTTTTTGAATAGATTTTTTTCTAGATGGTATTCTAAATTTGGTTGCTCCAAAATAGAATGAAGATTTTAAACCATAATTGAGGGGTACTAAATTTACTTATGCACGTGATTTTTCTAATAAATTCTTCTCCACTCTCCTTAGATAGAACTCTAAATCTTTAATGCCAAGAAAAAAAATTGAATATTTTAGACCATGATAAATGGGCATAAATGCGGTAATCATGATATATATGTTTTTCCATATTTGAGTAGCCGATTATGGCAACTCTTTCATTAATTTGCTTTTGCATAAAATCTCAGTCACCATTTTTTGTTGCATTAACATCATTTTGTGGGTAGCTGGGTGCTTTGTTTACTTACCTTATATAACAACAAGTGTTGCACAAAAAAAAAAAAAAAAAAAAAAAAAAAAAAAACTTTATAAAAGGCATTATACAGAGCAAAAAACAAGCATACCTTGGACGACTCAATCCATTTGCAGTTCTAAACCAGGTGGAAACATAACGTTTTTCTTACTTGTTTGATATGTGTACGAATGTGTACTCGTTTGAGCTTTGTTCAGCTTGATAATCTTCAAAGTTTTTTGGTTGTGTCATTTTTTAACCATGCACGTGTTTGTCTCTTCCCAAACACTAAAAATTTTTTCATGAAGGGTTGAGATAAGCATCTCCTAGCTAGCTATTATATGTATTGAATTATTGGTCATAAACCCCCCTTTTGTTGTTGTAAAAGATCATGGATTCAGTAAGCCGTGGAAATGGATCCGATGATGAAGTTTTACCCAATGATACACAAAAGCGCAAGAATCATAATAATCGAACTTCTAGACAAGTGGTTCAACAGCTCGAAGAGTAAGATTGATAGAATATTCTTTAGTTCATATATCATAGTAACAATGATTGTCTTAATATACATGTTATCAATTATTCATGTTTGTCGAAGACAAAATTAGAGATATACTTTTCTTGTTTCTAATATTCACTGCAAAGCTGCATGCTGTTTGTGGGGGGGGGGGGGGGGGGACTTCACAAGATAAGACAAGAACAAATTTGTAAAAATCAACCAAAATTTACCCTTTCTACAGATGAGAGAATTTTCATCTTGACTATCCTTGTGGTTTTATGTTTCTTTAATCCCTTGTCTTAGCTGTTTTTCCTTTTTCTAATTTTTTAAAGGTTATTCAAGAATAACCCCCGTCCAAGTGAAGAAGAGCGAAATGAATTGGGCGAAGGCCTTGGGCTTGGCCCCAAGAGAATAACGACTTGGTTCCAAAACAAACGGAGTAAAACGAAGGTATACTAATTCGATTTTAACCTCCTGTACTTTAAAACAAAAGGCATTTCATTGTGCCACTTTTTCCATAATTGAGATGATTAAAGCTAAAGCTCTTTGGTCTTTGACATCCTTGAAGCGAAATACTTTCTTGATTTCTTTTTGCATTGTTGATTGATATGACATGATTTTTGACATATTATTTTAGATTCAAACTGCAAGAGCTGAGAACGTGGTTCTCAGAGAAGAAAACGAAAGAATTCAGTTGGAGAATGCCATGATAAGAGAGAGATTAAGGAACACTATTTGCCCTGCATGTGAAAGTCTAACCATTGAGCAGCAGAATCAGAAGCAACTAGTTTTGCAGCAGTTGCTCGTTGAAAATGCTCAATTAAGAGAAGAGGTATATATACTCTATATGTACTACCTTTATAAGATTTATTTTTTGACTATTTAACATATGTGAATATGTAAAATATACTTCTTTGTCTAATTTGAAAATTATGGTTTTGTTAATTTTCCTTTATTTGCATGCAGTTGGAACGAAAAGTTCAACTTGTGGTCGGCTTTCTTGGAGGATCTGGAATGTGATGCCTTTGGTGGAGAGTGGAGACGAAGTTTGAAGCAAAAGAGTTTACCAATCTGTTTCTTCTAAACTATTCACAGAATTAGTATTTGTCTTTTCTGTATGGATTCCATTGGTTTTGAAGTTTAAAACATTCTTCAATTTCACAGCAATCATAGAAAATTTCTTTTTTTTTTGGTACCCTTTATCAAGATTACGGGTTCTTCATAATAAATGATAAATCTAGAACAATTACGTTAGTTTAAGTAAAAGCGATGGCACAAGATCTCAAAATAAGTTTATGCTTAACAGCGGACGTTATTGAAGTTTTGTATAATAAATTTAAAATTTCACAGCGGACGTTAATGGTTTGGCCAAACAAATTTGGTCTCCAAAGTTTCTAATTTAATGTAAACTTGGAACGTTATGCAAAATCACAAAAATAAATGGATAAAAAAAACTTGGCATTAGTCAAAAGTTTTGATTTTGCATTTTTTATCCTTCAAGTTTGAAACTTCTGTCAATAAGGTTCTTTGGATTTGAATAAGTATAGTTATGGTCTTAAAATAAAATAAAATAAAATATGAATTGAAATACAAATAAAGATATCAAATAGCGCTTCATATTTGCACAACACTATCATTTAGCCTAAAGATAACTAGAAGTGTTTAGTTGACTAGATCTTGAAGTGTAATAATTCCTATGATTCATTATTCTTTGGGAAGAATGAAGAATACAATATTTTAAGCTACTGTAATATCTTTAGCAATGATATTATACTGGTTTTGGTATAATATTGAGAGATAATTGATGAACAATTATTGTAAGTAAGAAACAAAATGCAAGGAAGAATTGACAATTTATTAGAAACGAATATTGACTTCCGCAACTGCTTTGCTAGCTCAAGGAACCAGTTTTGACAGTTGGTTTAGTTGTTCTGTTTTTTGTTACTATCATCATTTTCTTTTCATAGTTACTGTAGGCTACCACTAATGTGTGAGAGCCATTATTTTTTTCCTCTAGCAAAAATGAGCTTTTCTATTGATCATCAGGAATAAATTACTACTACCAAGGTACATGTACTAACAAAGTTGAGTATTAGGGGCATTATAAATGAGAGTATGCAAATATCAAAATCATGTTTCTACCTAATAGATAGGTAGCAATATAAGATGAGTAGAGTAAATAATTGTTTCTTTTCTTATTAAAAATGCTAGTCTAGAATGAGATTGACTATATAATTGATAAGATTTACTTTCACCTTATAAAGAGCATGTTGTTGGTGTGTTGCTATGCATAATTCACATTATGATGGTAAACTATTTTCTTTCACATTGGAGAAGATTATACCTAAAAATAATAATGCTAACAAGATGAATTTGGTCAAAATAATGGGTAGATAAGTCATTGAGTAATTAATTAGTGTCACAAAAATAGTAGTTAACTATTGCTGTGGAAAGCAGCAAAATTTTAGGGTTCATTGAACAAAAATAGTAGTTAACAATGAAAGGCGCCCAATCCGTATATCACTTAATTCAATGAATAATATCTCATTTGCATAAGAATTTGGAAAAAAAATGATAACCTAATTAAGCAAGCAGTGTACCTAGTTCTACATTTAAAGTTTTTAACCAGAACTTCTATGGAAACAATTAAAGTGTTATTAAAGCACAAGAAAAGTGGATTCTTCAACAACTAAAAGTTAAGCTATTTAGCAACCTTAAATTTAAACACGTAAATCTCATACTCAGTAGCTAGCAGGCGCTGAACAAGAATGGTGAAATTTGGGTTACTAATGGCAAAAACATATCTTGTTTAACATTTATAATACAAGTCAAAAGCTGAAATTTAATTAAAAAAATTGCCCTTTTTATTTCTATTCATATAAATTCTTCTACCAATTTTCTTATCAAATTTAGTTCTCGCAAAAAAACAAAAATGCGTTAATATTGATACGGCCTCAAATGGAAGATAAGAGGTAATTTGAATATTATCAATCTATCCGTATCTTTTTTTTCAATTGCCTGAATAAGAGTCATTTTACCAGTATAAATAACTCTATCAATATTTTTTGAGCCGTACAGGAAACTCTTTCATATGCCTTCTATTAAAAAATCTCACCCTTCATTTTTTTCCCTTAAATTCCAGATTCTTTGCTGACCAGGTACATGAACGAATACACTTCTAATAGTCATTTTACCAACATAAATAACTCTTACCCATGGCCATGTTCATCAGAAGAGAAGCACAACTTTTCCATTCAAACGCTTCTAAAGCATGGACCCAAGAACAGAAAAACCAGGTACAAGTTTGATATATTACTTCTGAAATTCTTCATTTTGGACATGAATGTTTGATGTTCTTGGTATGGGATTCAGGTCAAGGATAAAAACTGTACTTCTACTATCTTTGATAATTTAAACTATATATGTTACCTCGTGTCGAGTAGTGCATCAACTCTTGAGCTTTACATACTAATCGATGAATCATTTTTCTCTTTTTATGATTCTACGAAAGAAGGCATGGATTTCGCAAATAGCGGAGATGGATCTCACGATGAAGCTTCTGTTGACACGGGAAAAAAGGAACAGGTTCGTCGGCACTCTGCACAACAAATCCAACGTCTTGAAGCGTAAGTTTAGTATCTTCATGTCCTCACTTTCATAAAAAATAATCATATATGCTTACTATACAGTGCAAGATCTGAAACTTTTGGCAAATCTTGTTCTTTTTTGGAAATTTAATTCTTCCTGTCTCTATGTTGGTATTTTCATGCGCATGCAATTGACGGTTTTTCAAGACAAGCCAACATCCAACTAAATATGAGAAACAACAATTGAGTACAGAGCTAGGGCTTTCGTCTGGACAAATAAAATTTTGGTTCCAAAACAAGAGAAACCAAATAAAGGTATACTTATTTTTTGTTCTCAATTAAATTGGATGTGCTTTAAATTTAAGGGCTTTCTTGGGTTACATTTTCTTTTGAATTATGATAATTCAATTCTAGATTTTTACATGTTTTAGCTACAGAATGAAAGAGAGGAGAATGATGCTCTTACATTAGAAAATGAGAAACTTCGTATGGAGAATCTGATAATGAGGGGAATGCTAATGGATCCTTACTGCACAAAATGTCATGGGGGACTTACTGAAGAAGAGACAAGGAAACTGCATTTGCAAGGTTTAGCCAATGAAAATGCCAAACTGAAAAAAGAGGTGGATTCTAGTTTTCATGTTTTTGAATTAAGTAAAATTTTGGCCATGGAAAGCATATTTTTTTCTCTGTCTTACCCTTTTTTTCTTTTGAATTGTGCAGCTTGATGAAAAAGTTAGATTCCTAGCTTATTTACATAACAAACGCGGTATATGATTTTGAAACAACTTTGCTGTTCAACCAAGTTAGATGCAAGCTACCGAAGAAATGGAATAGAACAAAACTACAATTGACAATCTGATATTTCCCTATTGTACAAATCACAAATCTTTTACTATTCTATGTCTGTTGTTCTTACACAAATTATGTTCTAAACATGTAAACCCTTAATTTTTGATATAATTGTTTTTGTAGTAATATTTGAAATTCGTTGTGTTACATGTACTTAACAATCATGTCATATTAAAATAAATATCATCGTAAGAAATCATTAGATATGTGGTTTCTTTGATTTTTGCCTGAAGCGGCAAAGACAATGTAAAGTTCAAATTGGAAGAGAAAAGATGATTTGGAAAAACAGAAACTTTGGTAGAATTTATGGAACATCTCACATAATCTGGTCAAACAGAATTTGCTGTGAACTCTACCAAACACTGGTAGAACCATTAGGCCTGCCTTGTCCAAATTACCCCAATTTAGTGCCTACATCCACTTCGACATGGACTATTTGTTGATGAATTCAAGCTGTCAATATTAACAATCGCATCAAACATTTGATGATCATCGTGAGCTTTGACAACTTTCATATCTTTTTGCCAAAATTGTACCTGGCTAATGCTATCAACATCCATTATCAGTTGCCGTTAAATCTACAGTAAAAGGGATTTTTCAACCATAAATAGTATAAGTTTTTTAGCATTATTCGATGTATTTCATAACCCATGACTAAAACACGTAGTTCTCATACTCAGTAGCTGCCATTCACGAAGAACGTCAATGAAAGTTGGATTACTAATGGCAAAAATTATATTGCTTAAAGTTCATAAAATTAGAAAGTACGGATCAAAACTGTATTTTTTTTTTTGGAAAAAAGATAAATTTCTTGTGCAAAAGTGTTGTAATTCAGATAGTAAATAATAATAATTAAGGCATTAATAGTTGCTCATTTGTTTTTTAATGTGCTTATTTGGTGCTCCAAAGGCACCAACTAGAAGATATATTTTAATAATATTTGAAATTCGTTTTGTTACATGAACATACATAATAAACTCATCGTATCAAAATAAATGTTATTATAAGAAATTAGATGGTATGTTGGTTACAATTTTCCACAATGTTATTATTGTAAGGAAGCGTGTGAAAGTGCAAAAGATATGCAAACGCTGATGATCTTGAGAAAGGAATTCTGATATGCAAAGCGTGTTTTACAAATTTTTCTTTTAAGTTTTTCTTCATTTGTACTTTTTTTCTCTTTATTTTTCCACTCCACTTGCACGGACTCTGTAGTTTCAATTTCATTAGCATCTACATTAGGAAAACTCTATTCAAATAGATATAACCCTATAACCTAAGTTGGGTCTAGGGACAACTTTTTAATAGGAGTCTATCGAATGAGTGTCTAATGAGTATCTAATGGAGACTCATTAAAATATAGTTCAGGTGTTAAATTTTTAAAAGAAATAAAGTTAATTAGTGAAAGTATATAAATACAAAGGTGGATAGTAATCATTAGTGTGCATATTCATGATAAGTTTGGTCTGATTTAGGTACATTAATGAGATTTATTGAGCAGTTAGAAAAATCCTTTACATACTTATTGAAATTTTCTAGCAAGCTCCTACTGAGTACTACTCGTCAGTGCACCTAATTTGCATCTAACTTATCATATATATATATATATATATATATATATATATATATACACACACTCACATTTATTATACCCTATATTTACACTTCTTTTCGAGCTAATAATGCTTTTGCTAAAGAACTAATACATGACACACATTAGCCAAACTCATAGCTATTAGTGAATAAAAACTCGAAAGTGTATTCTTCAGCTAATCAATTTTTTGACAATATTCCGTATGCTTTATCTAATTTATAACTCAAAGGCAACATACTTTCTTACAAGTAGTCACTTAAGAAAATTTAGAAAATTGGTAGAGAAAGCGGCGTACTATAAATCTAGTTTAAAGTTCAAAAATTTACTTGTACAAATGGTATTTTAGATTTTGTTCTCCACTTTCCTCAGATGGAACTCTGAAAATTAGAATCTAAGACATAAAATGAAGATTTTAAACTATGATAAATTAGCACTTAATGCTGGAACCTTGACATGTATGTTATTACATATTTGATTAACCATTTATGGCAAATGTTTCATATGCTTTTGCGGATCATCTCAGTAGCCATTTGTCTTGCATTTAACCTTATATGGTAGGTAAATGCTTAACTTACTTCCTTATTTTCCTCAACAAATGTTACTGCATTGCCACATACGTTACGCAATTCGATCCGTTTGTTTAAGAAAAATGTAAACTTTCATTTGTTTTTTTTTTATATGTATATGCAAGTTAGTTCTTGGAGCTTTTTTTGAAGTGATGTTCTTGAAAATTTTGCTAACGTTTCAATTTTTAACCATGTCAACCTCTAAAAATTTTGTTAAATCGGGCTGAGATAAGCATCTTCCTAATTATTATGTATTGAATTATTGATATTTAAAGAATTTTTTGTCCTACTGTGAAAGATATGGATTTTTAAGCAGTTTAATTGGATTAGATGTTGAACTTTTATCCAACAACACGAGGATGTGCAAGAATCAGTGTTATCGAAATATATGAGAAATAGTTGAACAGTTAAAGAGTAAGATTGTTATAATTTTCTTTCACTTATACATTATACAAAAAGTTAAGGACTCTACATTTATCAATTATTCATCCAAAGATAAATAACTTTGTGGCTCTAGTATTCGCCCTTCTTGAGGGTATACTTTTAGTCCCTCATCGTCTTCTTGTTATTATTTTTTTTTTTTTTTTTTTTCAGTGACCGGATGTGTTGAAGGTTTTTTGAAGGAAAACTCTCATCCAAATGAAAGTAAGAGATAAGAGGGGGGGTCAGGAAATCAGGATTCATCCTAGTCAATGTTTTGAAACTTGGACCGGCCATTGAATCTATCGAGAGATCAGAGATCAGAGGTCAATGGATTCGATCGAAGTCAAATCCATCTAAGAACCGAGTAATGTAATCATGATGTCATAAATATATTTAATTTTAAAAAGTAATATATTATGTAAAATTTCTAAAAACATGTTAATACTGAGAAAGGTGAATTCAATGTAGGTTTGATGTTTCTAAGATATTTTGCAAGAAAATACAAATAGGTTGTATAATTAAGTAGCAATTTATGTAATTTACAATTTAATGCACATTCAGCAAGTTTGAAATCAAATTGGAGGGCTTATATAGAAAGTAATACAACAATTTAGGGCTGTAGCTATAAATTCTAAATTGTTTCTAATCGTATTAACAGATTTATAGTACTTTAAAGGTCAAACCATAAAATTGGTAAAACTTTTAACCCTAAATATACTTTTCCTAGTTTTTCTCCCTCATTTCCTCTCATAGTGTAGCCTCACATCTTTCCCTTGTTTTTTCTTCATAATCCAACTTCTCTATAATGGCGTCAGATTTTCTTCTTTTCTTTTTTTTTATTTTCATTTTTTCTTTTTTCAATTTTGTCTTTGTTGGATTTTTCTTCTCAAAGTCACGAATCTGAAACATTAATCCTTAATTTTTTTCACACTTCTCTAGTCTTCATCTCTCTATCCTTTTGTCTTTTTACCATTTTCTTGAACGTGAGATCTATAATTAAATTGTGCTTGAGAAATATGTTTAAAGGTTATTTTTTGATAGGATGGAAACTGGTTGATGGAATGAAGGTTGATTTTTTTGCAAAGGGGAGAAATCTGTGTATTGTCAAAGGCAAAAGCGGTTTCAAGAAAAAGAAGAAGATGGGGAAAAAGGTAAAAGGGAAAAAAATTTTGAAAAATTGGATTTTTACTGATTTTGCCAATTTCCGATTGAGCCTGAATTTTTATTGGGTTTGACCAAATTCTGGTTAGACGGTTTGATGAGGTAATTCGGACCAAATACCTGATCGATTCTCAATTTAACTAGTTGAACCGTTCAATCCGATCCAAATTTGAAAACACAGAACCTAGTCAGACAAATTTTTTATTTCAAATAGACAAAATCAAAATAAAGGTATATACTACTATTCGATTTTGACTGCTTGTACTTTAAAACAAAAGCCATTTCTTGCGGTACTTTTTCCATGATCAAGATGATTAAACGTCTTGGCCTAAATTTGATGTGCTCTAGATTCTTAAAACAAAAAGCTCATTACCAAGTCCATCCTTAGTTGTTAGAGACATTAACCTTTACGGTTCCTGGTTGGACTCCTTTCCCGATTTTTCTCTATATAAGACTCGTAGTCTCCCTTTGGAATACAAAATACGAAAACTCAATTTCTCGGGTTATTTGTCCATTATCAAGATGACATAGCTAGCCTTCTGGTTCTTGACATGCTTTAGAGTCGACTTGCAAGAGCTGAGAACTGTACTCAAGGAAGAAATCCGAAGAATTCAATTGGAGAATTAGATGATGAGGGAACGAACAATAAATCCTGTTGTCCAGCATGTGAGGGTCTACCTAATTATAGGGTACGATGATGATAGGCAACTAGTTTTGCACCACTTGCTCTTAAAAAATGCTTATTTGAGAGAATTGGTCAATTCAACATATTCTACTTTTGAAAGAATTTGCATCATAACTATTTAACATTTATCAATATATAAAATGTACCTCATTTTCTAACATCAAAATTTCGTTTTTGTTAATTTTTCTATAATTTCATGCAGCTGGAACACTTTGTTCTTAACTATTTGTTCAATTCGTTTATGTGGGCTAAAGACAAGCAGAAGAACAAATCGAAAAATTTGTCTCTTCTAAGCCAACACAATGACCTTTTCACTTCTCTGTATGGATTGCGTTGGTTTTAAACTGAAAATCTCTTCTAAGCCAACACAAAGACTTTTTCACTTTTCTATATGGTTTACGTTTGTTTTTAAACTGAAAATCTGAAAATCCTCTTTTCAGAGCAATAGTTGAAACTTGAAAGTTCTTGTTTTGTAATTTTGTATTCAGATTATGGG